TTGCCTAGAGGTACGGTTAAAAAAATGCGGATGCAGGGTCCTGGCCCCGCCTCCTTATTTTGCATAAGTAGAGCTGGGGTGAAGTTGAGGCCTGTGCACTTTTTTTACAGCGCCTCGTGTGATTTTAATGAAGGTAATCCCTGAAATTTATACTGACAGCTGCAGTGCTGCCCTAGAGACCTGCTCAATTTGAGCCAGCTGCCACTCTTTGCTGAGCTGGACCCCTTGAGACTTTTCCCGTGTCAGCTTTTATTTTGGTGGGGGAGCCTTTTTGCGGGGTAGGTTGGAGATGGCAGTGGGATGGACACCGCCATACCATTTCTTTTTCAATTTCCAGTTTCCTTGGTTGGTCAGGTCTGCTGTCCTGTAGGGTCGCTATGAGTCGAAATCAACTCGAAGGGTTTTGGTTGGTCAAAAGACTGTATGGCCTGGAGTTCCAGCTCTGTTTAAGAATGTAAGATCCTGAGGGATGGTAGTTATTACTTTTTGCATCTTTTCTCCAATCTGTTACACCCTGGAAGTCAGGGGTTTTCATTCCATCTGAAGACAATATTTTCATGATTGGTACTCCTTGCATTTCCTTTTCTAGTTTTTTACAGATATCTTGGGCTTGGCTCACTTTTCATTTCTTCCAAAAGCATTTATTGGGCACCTGCTGTGTGCACAACTCAGTATTTCTGCATCATGATCTCCCTGGAGGGTTTTCTCTCTGCTTGTAGTGGTCATGGCTGTCTCTTTTTTTTTCTTTTCTTGGACTTTGTTTCGTTTTGATTTTTTCCCCTCTGATTTCTAACTTGCAGAACTTAGTTACTGCTATGTTACTTGTGTGCATATTTTCCTTTCTAGCGTTTTCTTTAAAAATGAAACGCTCTTACAGTTAAACAGTTTTCCAAAGTGTCAGACACTGTTGTAAGCATTGGTGATTCATTAGTGAACAAAGGAGACAAAAAATCCCAGGTTTTATGAAACTTACATTCTGTGGGAGGAAGGAAACTAGATGAAATTATAGACGTAAAGTGTTAGCATAATAGTTGTCATAGAATAATTGATAAATAATAGGTATAACAATACGGAGCCCTGGTGGCACAGTGGTTAAGAGCTATGGCAAGCTACGGCTGCTAACTAGTCGGTGGTTTGAATCCACCAGCTGCTCCTTGGAAACCCTATGGAACAGTTCTGCTCTGTTCTGTAGGGTCACTATGAGTTGGATTCAACTGGACAGCAGTGGGTTATAACAATACAAAAAGATGTAGTCTGTATGGAGTCCCTCTCACCAAAACTGTTAACGTCTCATGGAGCTTAGGAAAGCACAAGCTCCATTCTAAAAAGAGCAGTACCAGGAAGTCCCAGCCAATTGCTGCTCCCAAGGCTGTGGACACTGTGATATCATAGCATCAGATTTTTCCAAAGACATGAGGAATCAGGATTTTATATAAAATCTCCTAATTTTGAAACATTAATATCTGCTTGATTTTTTGGAAAAACATTGCAATGTTAAAGCACAACTGTGGACCTGACACAGCCCACAGCCGAGAGTTTGCAGCTTCTGGATTGTTGTTGTTAGGTGCCATCGAGCCGATTCTGACTCATAGCGACCCTGTGTACAACAGAACGAAACACTGCCCAGTCCTGGGCAATCCTCAGTTGTTGCTATGTTTGAGCCTGTCCTGCAGCCACTGTTGGCAGTCCATCTTGTTGAGGGTCTTCCTCTCTTTTGCTGACTCTTTACTTTATCAAGCATTATGTCTTTCTCCAGGGACTGGTCCCTCCTGATAAGTAGGTGAGACAGAGTCTCACCATCCTGGCTTCTAAGGAGATTCTGGCTGTACTTCTTCCAAGACAGATTTGTTCATTCTTCTGGCAGTCCATGGTATATTCAATATTCTTTGCCAACACCATAATTCAGATGCATCAATTCT